CATCCCATCTATTTTCTTTTCTGGCATATTATTTAGAAACAGATTTCAAACATTGCATTATCTCATCCATAAATATTTGAGAATGCATCTCCAAGTAGTAAGTAATTTTAACACCACCATATGGTTATCCCACTAAAAATACAATAATTAATTATATCATCTAACATCCACAGTGTGTTAAATTTCCAATTGTTGTATCAGAAATTTTTAAGGTTGTTTGAAGCGAGACCCAATAATCCCATACGTTGTGATGAGTTGCTATTTTTTTTATGTTTCTTTTAATCCATAGATTTTCTTGTTCTTAGTAACTTATTTGAAGGAACTGGGTTGTTCGTACTATAGAGGTTTGCATACAGCGCATACTGTACTGTAGTTTTTAGCATATTCCTTATCCCTCTACTTCTTGAAAACTGGAAGCCATGACATTTTCCTTTTCTTTTTTTTTCTTTCTGTCTTTCTTCTGTCTTTCTTTCTGAATCAGAGGAGTCAGTTCTACCTGTTATTTTAATGGTTGGTTGGGTTTTGCCTTATATTTTGCCAACAGTTTGCCTTATTGTGGCTTCCACACTCTTATACATGGATTTTTGCATTACCTTCAAATGCTACATAATGTAAAAGTTCCATCTCCCACTTCAATGACCCATGAGCAACTCTTTTCATTTTACTATGCCTCTTGCCATCATGGCCCTCCTCTTCCAAATATACTGGCTTTTCAATGCCAATTTTAAAATGTGTTCCTGGAATGAAAAATGGTATTTTATATGTAGTCTATTGCTTTTCTTGATTAGGAGAATGGAGAACATAACCCAGAAGTGAGCAGGGCTTGAACCTAGTGCTACCGCCCCCCACACCCCCAAGTCATCGCCACTTAGGCCAGAGTAGCTGCTGTTTGCTTGGGGGAGGTATGTACAAATGTGAGGGCTGAATCTCTTCCTTCTCTTAATTTCCCCATCCATTTCTCTAGGTGATATAACTTATATGCCTAGTTCTTAAGTAGTTTGGCTGTGAATTCTTGATTTTTCTTCTTGAGAGCAACAATGGGTGCTCTTGTGCTACTGGAACAGTGCAAGGTATAAAATAAATGACCGTGTTGGCTCTAAATTTTGAATACCAAATCCTCTCACAATTTTGATTGTTATAGAAGCAGTGAAATGTCATTCAGCTAATAGTAAGGAAAGAGTTTCATACATAGTACAACAACCCTTCTACTGAACCCTGAGGTTATATGATAGTTTAGAAGTTAAGAATTTGACATAAGCTCTTCTAACTTTTTATTTATTTTTTGTATATAGATAATTTTATATGAAAGTCTAAATATGACCATATTCATAAGTTGTTTTTTTTTAAAGTAATTGATTATATGTATTTGTGGGGTACAGGGTTGTATATCAATACCTGTGTACAATGTATGATGATCAGATCAGGATAATTAGCATATTCATCATTCAAAACATAATAGCTTCCTTTAACTAATGTTCTAGTAAACGTTAAGTTAATTACGTGTAGGAACACAACCAATTTAAATCCATTACATAAAAATGTGTATTTTCCTATATTTTGGAGGTTCTTGTACCCAGAGAAATCAACTATACAGTTATTGTAAAGCATAATATGACCGTATTTTAGTTAACTGGCAATTTGAAAACATTAGGTATTTTACCAACTTTTTAAAAAGTTTCTGACCATCTTTTTAACAAAGCTACTAAGAATTAAGCAAACTTTGCTTCATTATCTAAATTACTCAAAAGGTATTTTTGTATATATGCTGTCAAATAGATGCTGCAACTGGTAGTTGTAAGTTTGTATGGACCTCAGAAGGGGGAGCTAACTTTGGCACTTGCCTGGGAATAACTGGGCCTCTGGAAGGAAGGTAAAGGGCTATTTATAGCCCTTAACCTGAGCAATGTTTGAGTCTAATCCAGTCTAACGCCTGTTCTAACCTATCCAATGTCGCATGGGCCTATTCTAGGCCCCCCAAAATCACTGAATTGATACCAAGTTAATTATAAGTCTCACACAGTGAGGGGACATACTCAACACAACTCTGTGGTCAGGCCTGTGTATGAATCTTAGTACACCATAATCAGCTATGTGAATTCAGATACATTTTTTAACCTCTCTGAACCTCAGCTTCCCATTCTATAAATACCAATAATAACAATAATTACCTCATTTAGTTGTCCTGAGAATTAGTTTAATATGCTGTTTGACATCTTATGTCTTTAAAATAAATGAGTTGTTATTGCCATTATAATTATATGTATTAATTTATTATGGCCAGGATCAAAAGTGCTGTTTTCCTAAAATCTGGGGGCATCCAACTTTTTCTTAGTTCTAGTTTCTCTATTGCTCTGTACCTGAAATGTAATTCAATATCTAGCATTATTTTCTTTCTTTCCTCTGATGAAGTCATCCAACTCAAAACATGCAGTGGAAATCCATGTGAAGATCTCAGAAAGGTTTACAGACATGCCATGTACTACAGTTGACTAAGCACTGGGATAAGCCACAGGAGACATGAATTGTATCCTCAGATCTCCCCTAAATATCAATAACCATGGGAGAGTGATATAATTTATAATAATTTATATGAGCACGGGCTTTCCAAAAATCGAGGTGAGGACAGTGGACTAGAGCTCTGTAAGGTGCTGCTCTAGCTCAAACTTTCTTAAGTACTATAAAATATTTGTGATAAGTGGGTGGGAAGGCTAATCAGTAGATGGCATAAGGCTATCTGATATATTGCTTACATGTTCAGTGTTCAAAAGTGGTTGCAAAATAAATATAGCAGATGAGAGAAAAGACTGTTCCAGGATGAGGAAATAGTCTGTACCAAGGACCTGTACACAAGTGTACCTTTTATAAAAAGACTTGAAGAAGGCTACTGTAGTTAAGGCACAAAAAGTGAGAATCATGAAGACAAAATAAAAAGTGTGTAGTAGAGCAGCGTGCAAAAATCCTTGAATAACCACAGAGAATGACTGTGGTATCAACCTTAAAAGATAAATTCATTTGAGTTGTCAGTCTAATTTTCACTAGAGAAATATTATCAATAGATCATTCTAGAAGAGGAAAAAAACGTGTAATTGATATTCAGATGATATAGATCCTATGAACTATTAAGACCAGGGAGTGTTAAATGACTATCACCAAGGAATTAGATGGCATCTTACTTTTTAAATTTTATTACTAATTTAATTATTCTTAATGGAAACTCCAAGAGGTCATTCAAGATACCTTTAAATTCTCCACCTGAGAAGGAGAAACAAAAGTTCTGTTTCATAATCAGGAATACTTCTGTAAAAATTTTATGAATCAAGTGCAAAGGTCTATAGGGCATAATCCACAAGCAAGCCAAAAATGGTATGTCTAGCTGACCTCTGAATCAGCTGGCAGTCCGTGCCCTACACAGAGGTGGGGAAGCATTCTCATAGGTACCTTAATAACTTGTGCAGGCCTAAGCAAGAAGTTTTTATAGATAGCTCTCTTTAAAACAAACTAAAGGCCACATGACACAGAATATCTAAGGAACAGGAAAAAATGCTATTTATATTTAGTTAGCAAATTCTGAACTAAAATTGGTAAAGAGTAAACCTGATATCTTCTTAGAAAAGAGAAAAAACACAAACTAGATTTAAGAGAGCTGGCTTCAAATCTTGGCAATGCTACGGTCTTGAGCAAGTTACAGAACATCTCAGTTACAGTCTTTTGTCCCTGCAAAACAAAGATAATAATTCCTACTTAATTGAGTTGTGTGAGGCTTAAATAAGTAAATATACATAAAGGTCTGAGCAAAACACCTAATACATAGAAATCCCTCAGGGATTGTTGTTATTAATTTGGGGTGCCAGACTAAATTTCTTAGTGGAAGGTGCAAGTAAGGCAATTCTTATAAATATTGTATGAAAATCTCCAACAAAAATTATTGTGTGTTCGTACTAATTTCTACCCCAAAGGACAAAAAACACGTTTTATTTTTCAGTTGTCTAATTAAAAACAAACCAGCACAGAATTCAACTTGGAAGCTGTCAAGAACACCACCTGTCTGGCTTTTTTTCACAGCTGTCAGAAGCAAATTTTAGATCCCCCTTCCAAATTTTTATCCCCATTAGAACCAGACTCTGTCTGTATCCAAATGCTTTAGTTTTAAAGGTTTCCTTTATTCTAAGAAATATATTTTACGTATATCTATATGTATATTGGTAAAATGTGCTACCACGGTCAAATTAAAATTATATGTCTTATTTATAGCATGTAGCTTTTCAGTATAAGTATTAAAACAGAAAATATTTATTTTAGTACAAAGATAGAATTTACTATTTAGAAGGAAAAGAGTAATAAGTTTATGAAAAAAATCAGAATTCTCACACTTAATTACTTTATTTCTAAGAAAAGATTGATCTACAGTGAGTTTGTGGAATTCCAAACTATCTTTGAATATCCATCAATATTAAAATCGAAACTTTGTGGGAAGTTTATTTGAAATTGTATATAAAACTTACAGGTGTGTGTGTATTTATACACTGTAGTTAGAAAAGAAAAGACAAATTAAAAATCTCCATTTTGAAATATCATAAAGCAAAATTGCTCAAAATCATTTTGCTAAGTTTGAACATTAAATACAATATTTTAAGTTTATTATGATCTCCTTCCTTGCAAGCCTTTTAATTTTTGCTAGATAAGATATCAGCCATCATGTTACACGACCATAGCTATTTATAGAGGTGTGGGTGACAACTGTTAACTAGCGGGGCCTTTGGTATAGCAGAGAACAGTTTCCACATGCAAAATTTCAGAGAATTCTCTTCTCACTCCCCCAACATACAGATCTGGCAGCCTCCCAGTTCCCAAATCCACTTCTCTGATCCTGCACAGAATCACTAACAATCACTAACAATTTCCTCAAAGCAACATTTTAAATGGGCACATTGACAATCAATGTGGCTTTCAATTTACACAATTTTTCCCTGCTTGATACTATTGGAAAATGGTAGCAATACCTTCAGCAGTGATCTCAGTCATGGTGGTCGGAGAAAGTCAGGTGAAACGTCAGGTGAAAAGTTCCGGTCAAGTGACACTTTGCAGATTACTTTAGGATTCGAGAACTCTGGTAGGGAATTCTGTGTTAAAACGTGAGGGCTCTTCGTTTTCCTGGCTGTTTCTGCTGCTTCTTTGCTGTCCTGCTGAACTTTGCCTCTTCTCTGCAGAGTTCTCCCCCTGGAAACAACCTAAGCCCTTTCCAAGCAGCACTTGTGGCTCAGCTAGAAGTGTCAGCTTCAAACAAAAATAGCCTCATCTCCCCAGGACTCATCAGTACTTTTTTTTTTTTTTTTTTTTTGGCACTCTATAGGAACACACGCACGCACTGCACACGCAACCCCCTCCCCCCCAGCTCTCCAGCCTCAAAGAGAGATAGGCAAATACAACAAAAAAGCCAAAGGAACTAAAAAGTACTGTCTCAGCCCCCACAGTTTCTCAAGATAATTACAGATCTTGGGATCTGTGTCAGAAAACATGAAATAAAGAGTTGAAAGTAATCTTATCCGTGATAGCTCAGATTTATTCTTAGTGCCCTTAATACTCAGAACATTCTTCTCTCCCTTATTTGGATTGGGGAGGGCCCTGTAATGTCTACCAGAGGCAAAAAGGAAGGTAGTCTTAAGAAATTTTCTCAGAACTGATTCCCTACTGGTTCCAATGCACTTAGCAAGTACAGTTGTTTATATAGGGCTACACTTAAAATTGCAACTATTAAATCCTGAAGCTTTCTTCTAACACAGTCATGTTGTAGGAGATTAAGAATTTCTAAACACTTGGCCAATAAGAAATATGTAATATGAAGTTATAGTATGATACTTGAGAATCAATGAATCACTACCTTTGTTATTCTCTTTAATACTTTACTGAAAACAAAATACCTGAATTTATTTATGCAGTAAAAGAAAAGGAAAGTGACATGAAGTTTGGAAATTCACAACTAACATTTTAGTAAAAGATTTTAACTTTTCCCTATCTCAACTTTTTTGTGAAAATCAAGTTTTTTCTTCAATATGATTTGATTTTTAACATTTTTTTGAAATCTGTTTCACAGCATGGTGAATATATAGCTAATAATTTAATACTGTACCAATACTGCCAGAAAAGTAAATCTCAAATGATCTCGTCACAAAAATGTCAAATATTTAAGATGATGGATAGGTTAATCAGCTGGATTTAATCATTCCATATTGTATTAAAATATCATAATATCATTTTGCACCCCATAAATATATACAACTATAATTTGTCAACATATAATAAAAAAATAAAATAAATACATTGTAAATTTTTATATAAGACAGACCTCATTTTCCTAATCATGCCCTTAATGAAAGTAATAAACAAGTGCTGGTCTTTTTTAAAATATAAGAATATAATCTAGTAAACTCATTTGACCCCTCCTCAAGCTCTATAAACATGCTATGAAAACACACAGCTGAAAAGCGAAGTTCAATCATTCAGCTTGGTATGCACAATGTCAAATGATCCCCACGGTTTTTTTTCTTTACTTGAATAGAACACATTTTTGACTGAATTGACTGACTGTTTAGGTTCTTTGTGGACACAGTTGTAGAAAAGAAAACCAAAACATTGCTTTAGGGGGAGAAAATTGTAGCTACTTCTATCTCATAAAACCACTCGTGTTCATTTTCTTGAGAATTGCTGTAAGCATATCTTCTAGGGCCAATATGTAAGGGACCTTTCGATGGTTAAATAAAAGCTCAAACATTTTTAGTATAAAAAAGAAAAGGATCATAGCAGCAGCTAACAATTAGCTAAATTGGCTGATTAGCATTTAATCTTCCCACTCCTAGCCAGGTGTTAATGAGTAGAGAAATATGCAATAGTTGGTGGTTGGAAAAAGAAGGAGAATCAAAGGGCATTGATAATCATAAACTCTAACCAATTGGTGCATAATCAAAGATTGACTACATTTTTATTCTCATATTCTACCTAATACATGCTCGTACTTTAATCTTTTAGCCTTAACGTGCTGCCGTTGGTCGTCAGTACCTCTTGAATTTGTATGGTACCTCATAGATCATAAAGCAAAGCCACGTCTGTTGTTTTTAAATTTTAGGCTCAGGAGAGTGCTGTGACAGCTATTTCTGTAGACAATGACCTCCTTCCTGCATGTCAGCAGTTCTGTCTTTATTTGCTGCCCTAATTCCTAACACAATAGAACGTGCTCCTACATCAGCCGAATAAATCAATTAGTAAGTAAGTAATCTTAATTCACAAAGGAGGAAATAATTCCAGGTAACACTCATGATTTTATCAAGGCCTACACCTAGGACTGGGCCCAGTGGCTTTTGACTACAAATCTGATACAATTCTCAAAAGGCGAGGCCTTGTTGCAAATACTATCCTTTGCAGGTAAATGGGATCACTGCAAATTAGGCCCACCAGCAGGATGGAAAGATGCAAAATTCTCGCAGCAGCCTCCTGGAGCACCAGGTTGGTCTGGAGGAGGTAACCTATGAGCAGTCTCCACACTTTGCCCCCAAAGACATCTCTGTTCAATATCGCCACAGTGCCTCCAATTTTAAGAAAACAATCTTCATTCATCAGTCACTTTCATAGTCTTTCACTATTGTTAACTGAAGAAATAATATCTTGTGTAACTCATTAAGACTTTTCATAGGTCAGGGCCTAAATAAAATTAGCTAACTTAGAGGGGAAAAACTCAATTTCAAACCCTGTCCAATAAAAAGTTTTAAAAAAGACTATAGAGCAAGAATACTAAATTCCTAGTGATTGCTGTTACTGTTATGTTCCCAATCACTAATTTCATGTTATATATGCTAGAAGGAGAAAGAGGAGAAAAAAAAAATTCTAGACAATAAATATGTTTGCAGGATAATAGTTTTTTAAAACACATCTGTGAGATGAGTTGATCAAACTCATTAGACTGAGAAATTAGTATATTTCTCATTATGAAAAGTTATCAGAACTCCTTAAACTTCTTTGAAACCTAGTTTGAGATATATCTTTGAGTTCCAAATTGAATTCTGTGAAGCTTTTCAAAACCAAGCAACTGATGTTTTTCCAAGTATGTACATCCTATTCTTCAGGAAACTCAGAGGATAAAACACTACAAACAATGCATTTGTCCATCATTTTAAAAGGTATTCATTTTAAAGAGATGGTACCAGATCACTGGGCTCTTCCAACATGATCCAGAAGTGGTAGTTCTCTCTTCTCAGCAATAGCTCCTCATGTACTCTCACGTTTTCCATTTTTGTACCATCAGCACAAGTAGACTTACCATGATTTTGCATACAAGAACATTTCTGAAACTAGGATATTAGTAACTGACCTAGTCTATATAAGTTAATGCTAAAACGTGAAAGTTTCTTTTCTTGTTAAATGTTGCAGTTCGGCCAATCTGGTCTCCAACCTGATTATACTTATCATTACCCCTTGTGATTTTCAGTAAGTGTTCTAAATATTCAAGTTACTGGATTAAAATATTCTTTTTTTAGAGCAATTCTGTTAATCTGGCTACTCTGCTATTATATGAACTAACATTCAGGAAGACAAATACATTTCACTATGAACAAAATACTCTTTATCACACTGAATTTCAAAATGTAAACATATTCTGGAGGCAACCAGAGAAGTTTTGTTGATTTATTTGTTTCCACCAAAAAAATAAAATAAAATAAAATAATTTTAAGACCAGACTGCATTATTTTGTTCAGTGCCAATTTTTGGTTTTTGTTTGTTTTTTTTAAGAGGGGTGAGAAACTATATAATTGGGACTAAATTGCTATTTACCACCAGTTACCTATTTTCTCAAGGGCTGGGGATATTTGGGAGCAAGTGGAATTTTAGAATTACTTTTCAAGATCTTCTGTTTCTTAATTTACAGAAACAAACAGCTTATATACTTGAATAACCTATACATGAATTGGTGGTAAATGGAAATCATGTAATAAAGCAAATTGTACAATATATTACATTTAAACAGAGTGCAAGTAAATTTGTGTGAAATACAATTAGGATAAAAATTCTCTTTACTTGGATCTTAAAATAATAACTGATATAACTTCCTTGTGAACCTAAGTTTTCAAGTTCATTTTAATAGAAGACAAAGATAAATAACCAACTGGAATGATAAGAAAAAAGGGGGGGGGGACAGAGTCATGATGCACGAAACATTTGTAATTAAGAGCAAATAAAATATGATTTACTGTTTCAGTGCCTCAGTTGAAGGAACTTACCAGGGGAAATATAAAAAAGAGGTTTACATGTAACTTTGTAGGTGAAGAAAAACTGGCAAACACAATTTAGATTTGGAAAGAATAAATTTTGGCTTTTTAAACCTTACAATGAAGAAATGCCGAAGAAACTAGGAACCATGGAAGTGAATGTGGAGGGCATTTGATTGCTTTCATTTGACCTTGAAATCCCATCACATGACCTAGAAATTCCTCTGAAGCTTACACTTGATAAAGTTAGTCTTCAGAATCACAAGAAAAGCTTCAAGTGAACTATTAGTTCAATAATTTTACTTCATCTCAACACCACCATTCACTTCATTTTAAATTGTTCTATGATCTTTTTGTGTCATAGAAAGTCTCCTTCAGCCCTCATTAGTTTCTCTAAATGGCCTGTACTCATTTCTTTAATCCAGGTTGAAAATCGTTCCATAGGCTTGCCTCACCATCTGATTATTTAGAAACTGTGTCATCCAGATTGTTTCAAATGACAGAAAGCATTCCAGTACAATTAAAAACTTTCCTCTCTTTAACAGTGACTCATGAATAGCTGAGTCTCCAATATCAGGCTTCTTTCCCCACACGCATTTGACATTGTCAAACATTCTCTTAGAAATTTGCCTGCGTCAATCTAGTCTTCAGCTAACAAAGACAACAGTTGCCTCTTTCTTCTAAGAGATACCATTCCCTGAAGATCTGGTGTCTGTCCACTACTACTGTCCTCTTTATGAAGATCTGCAATATACAGTAGTAGTGGGCCCCTGTAGAGTTTATAATTCAGATTACTGCTTTCTATTTTGCGGTCTACCACATATGATCTGCAGCCTGTATTCCTGGTTGCCATTCAAAAGCAATTTATGATCTGTGCTTTTTATATTTTCTTAAAAAAACATAAATACTTTTCTTATAAAAGATAAACTGCTGACCAATTCTTAGATACAAATTTCTACTTCTCTTAAATGATTTATATGGATATTTCTATTTGCTAAGTTTGAAAAGGTTCATATCATCTTGTTCTTTACATTTTGATGCTTTACATTATCAACAGTGCAAACTAT